CAATATAATGGGAGACAATACACCAACAATGCAGTTCAATACAAGAGGGATAGGAGGGCTCTGCTCCTCGGAGTTACAATCTAGGAGGGAGGGGTCTAATGGTACAAAAGGTAGTAACTGTGGGGGATGGACTGGTAGGAAGAGTAGAAGATTCCATTATTAGCTGACGGCAGGATAGGCTTACCTGAAGAGAGAGGTTTTCAGAGATCGCCTAAAAGTGAGCAGAGTAGGCAATAGTCTGATAAATTGGGGTAGAGAATTCCAGAGGATGGGGGAAGCTCTGGAGAAGTCCTGGAGTCAAGCATGGGAGGAGGAGACAAGGGAGCTAGAGAGCAGGAGGTCTTGTGAGGAGCGGAGTGTACGGTTTGGGTGATATTTTGAGACAAGATTGCTGAAATAATTTGGGGCAGAGTTATAAATGGCTTTATACGTTACTGTTAATGTTTTTAATTTTAACTGTTGGGCAATGGGAAGCCAGTGGAGGGATTGGCAGAGAGGGGTGGCTGATACAGAACGGTTAGTAAGGTGGATGAGTCTGGCAGCAGCATTCATGGTAGACTGAAGAGGGGATAGCCTGTGATGAGGTAGGCCAAAGAGGAGGGAGTTACAATAGTCAAGGCAAGATATACCCAGGGAGTGAATAAATTACTTAGTGGTTTCCGAGGTTAAGAACGGCCGTATCTTGGAGATGTTGTGGAGGTGAAGTCTACAAAATTTAGACAGCGATTGGATTTGGGGGGTGAAAGGTCAGATGGGAGTCTAAGATTACACCTAGTACCCTGGCATGAGGGGAGGGACTGATGATTGTGTTATTGATCTTGATGGAGAAGTCAGGGGAGGGGGCAAGGGCTGGAGGGAATACTAAGAGCTCAGTTTTGGAAAGATTTAGGAAGTGGAGTGACATCCATGCTGATATGTCACTTAGTAGGTTAGTAATGTGAGAGGAGACTGAAGGGGTGAGGTGAGGGGTAGAAAGATAGATTTGTGTGTCATCAGCATATAGATGGTACTTATAGCCATGGGAGTTTATCAAGTGACCAAGGGAGGAGGTGTAGATGGAGAAGAGGAGGGGTCCAAGGACGGAGCCTTGAGGGACCCCTACAGAAAGAGGAAGTGGAGAGGAGGAGGCAGAGTTATAGGTAACGCTGAAGGAGCACTGTGATAGGTAGGAGGAGAACCAGGAGAGAGCAGAGTCTCGGAGGCCTAGAGAGTGAAGTTTTTTTGAGGAGGAGGGGATGGTCAACCATATCAAAAGCAGCAGAGAGGTCAAATAGTAAGAGTATGGAATAGTGGCCATTGGTTTTAGCTGTTAGTAGATCATTAATGAGTTTTAGTAGGGCAGTTTCAGTGGAGTGGAGTGAGCGAAAGCCAGACTTACAGGGTCAAGAAGGTTGTTGTCAGTGAAGTGGGAGCTCAGGCAATTGCAGACTAAGTGTTCTAGGAGTTTAGAGGTAAATGGCAGCAGGGAGATGGGTCTTAAGTTGTTCAGGTTGGTGGGATCCAGGGAGGGCTTTTTAAGTATGGGAGTGATGTGTGCATGCTTTAGAGGGGTGGGGAAGGCACCATTAGAGAGGGAGAGATTGAAGATGTGAGTGACGGAGCATAGGATGGAAGAAGAGGTGAACGTAGTAGTTGTGAGGGGACATGATCCAGGAGGCAGATAGTGAGACGGGCTTCTGAGAAAATCTTAGTGACCTCTTCAGTAGTAGCAAGGTCAAAAGAGGAAAGTGTTGAGGGAGGTTTAGTATAAGGTATGCTAAGTGGGATGGATGTCTGTGCAGTGGTGATGCACCTACTAATTGCATCAATCTTGTTTTTGAAATGATTTGCAATCTCGTGAGCAGTGAGTGAGGTACTGGGTGGAGGTGAAGGTGGAGAAAGTAGAGTTAAAAGTAGAGAAGAGACGGCAATAACCATACTGAACACAAATTATCCTACCGTCACAATTTGATCAAAGATTAAAACATACACACCATAACTGAATTTCACAAAGTACTCAAATGGAAGGTGGACAGAAAAGTTGAACAGGGATACACAATGCAGGATTCACTTCTCTTACAGTCCCGAGAGAAATGTAAATTGCAGGATATTCTAAATATGTGAATGTTTTTTTATATATACAGTATGTTTGTTGTAATAAAATTTCTATTTTTATAAACACTTTATTTTTAAGTCTATGGCGGTACTATGAAAGTCCGCTTTGTGTCTCAACGTTTATTTTTTCATATGAAAGTAGGGAAGCAACAGGCTATGCAGCTGTCTGTCAATTTGCTGGGAGGAGGGAGCAATGGCATGGCTTGAATTGAAGCACACAGCTCAGGCAGAAAGACCTGATGGACATCAAACAAAGGTGCATTTTCCAGGAAGAAGACTATACATACTATGTAAGTCTGGGCTTCCTCAAATAAATTTAAAAAATATTTTTATATCACTTTAAGCTTCGCAGTTGTCAAGAGGCGACCAATGGCTATTGAAGTGATTCTAAACCCGTAAGGTATTTACCTTCATGCAGGCAGAGGAAAAGTGCTTTAACTTACCTGATCCTCCAGTCCTTCATTGATGGGGTTCCCCCATACTCCTGTAGTGGACTGTCCCTCGGCATCCTCACATTCAATGTAGAGCTATGAACACTGTATTGGTCTTGGTGACATCAGGACCTTAGATTGCTGGCGCATATGAGAGAAGGCAGTGCATGGACTGGTCCAGCAGCATATAAGAGTGGGGGATCAAGTAAATCTTCTTTAGCAAGTCCCCTAAACCTAAATGAACAATTAACCATTGCAGTGCTGGTGTTGCCCCACTGCAAGGAATCATTTTTAAGTTTCCTGGAGTTGGGCTTTAAATAAGCATCTCATGGACAGTTTTTTTTTCAAGTCTGAACAGTTTTTGAAAAATGACCATAAAACTGTAAAACAAACCTGCCTGCTGTCTCTATGGCAGTGATAGATACTACAAAAAATAATTTATGCAAACTAACATGTTGTTTAGAGAGTACCATGGAATGCATGTTGTAAAAGCTATGGTAAAATCATAAAAGTATTTTAAATTATCATACAATGAAAATGTTTGTTGCAAACTTTTCCATTACCCCAGTAATTGAAACTGAAGCTTCAAATAGATGTTAATCTTTTTTCTTATTCATATTGAGTTGCAATATAATACAATGTGTGCTTATTATACTTCATAAACAGCACATTCAACTTTCAAATTGTTTTTGGTGATGGTTCTTGTTGTTTAGATAATTATGTATGGTTGATGTGCTGTAAACAAAGCATTACATTTCTGAAGAGGTTACTTGTGTACAGCAGAGCTATGCTAGAATATTCAGTAATATTTATGAAGCTTTTAGAGCTTTCACATACTGATGTTTTTTGTACAATTTACTACCTTTATAATCTACTAGCAACAGTGATTTATGTTTGAGAAAAATGTACAACTTGTTACTGAATAAATTAGGTTTTCTTAGGTTTCTGTAAGAAATGTTTCTGTTGTGATGCACTTTTGAAACTAAAGCTGACCATGCACATTACAATCTGATTGTACCATTTTCTTTAGGTCCACAAACAAATGTAAGGATTATGTACAATTGGGTTGTATTGTGTATGAAGATCTTAAAGCTAAATGCTGGGTAAATTAAAAAGCTATCCTTTGCACTAGAAGGGTTAAATGTTAATTTTCGTGTAGTGGTAACATAAAAAGCAAGTAAACGTAGCTTATCCCTTGCATCCCCAACAGCCAGCACTATTATGCTCCCTCCGATACTCCTCATTGCTAGAGGGCCCTTTGCATGCTTACAAGACTGCTGATCCTGCTTGCACATGATGATATCAGAAAGCCTGTGTCTGATGAAGCATCAAAGTGAAGTAATTTTGAGGGACTGCTTGTACACCTAGGATAACTGCAGTGAGAGTGCAGAGGTAAGTAAAATAGCATTCTCTCTCTCTCCCGCTAATCAAAAATCAGAATTTAAACCTTAAGTATTGGGGGAAGGGGGTGAGGAGGCACTGCCACTATAACTTTATATGTTACCTAGAGAAAAGATGAAAGATTAGAGCATTGTTTTGATAATGTAATTCTCATATGATTTTTTATTTTTATTTATTTTTTTTAAGCTTTAAAGATTTACATTTCTTTTTATGAACTGGCTCCCACCAGGCTGTTTGGCTACAGAGTGTAAAAAAAGAATTTCAGGAAAACTTGCTCTGTCCACTCAGCAAAACTCACTATATGGTATGTAAAAGTAATAAAAGATGGGGTGTGGACTAGATTGTTTTATTTAGGGGACCTCCTGCACACCATGATATTCCTGATACCATGCATGAGCTGTGAATAGGAGAAACTGTAATTATTTGCATATACAAGCTTTGCAAATTGCACGTGGTACATACTGTGTTCATTACCCTATTAGGGAATTTAATATAATAGATATAAAACTAGATTTTAAGCTTTAGTGAGTGTATGCTCACATGGAAGAAAAATATATTTGAAATATATTTTAAAAATATTCTTCCCAAATTGCCTTATATTTGAAATACTACAATTTTGTCCATATTAAATATATTTCAAAATATATTTCAATAAATATATATACTGAATGTTGAAATGCGTTTTTATTACAAAATATATGAAAAATGTTTTTAAAAATACATTTCAAATATAGTGTATGTCTTTTAAAAATACAAATCTACATTTTTGGAATGCATTTACAAATATATGTAACAAAATGTTAAAATGACTTTTTAAATGTTTTTTTTTTTTTAAATGTTTTTTAAATATATTCTTCAGATTTGTATTTTTAAAGACATACAGTATATTTGAAATGTATTTTTTATTATTATTATTATTGTTATACAGTATTTATATAGCGCCAAAAAGTTTGCTCAGCGCTGTACATTATAGTGGGGGACAGTACATAAGACAATACAGGGACAACACAATACACGAGGGGTTCGAGGGCCCTGCTCTTTGTAGCTTACAATCTAGGAGGGAGGGGGTAGTGGCAGGGGTGGACTGACCATTTGGAAACTCGGGCACTGCCCGAGGGCCCTGGGTCAGTAGGGGGCCCCATGAGATGCCCCTGGTACCTTTTTCATTGGCTTTTTTGCGTTTGGGCAAGGACACAGGGGCCCCATGATCCCCTATTGCCCGGTGGCCCCATGAGTTGTCAGTCCGCCCCTGGGTAGTGGTACAGGGGGAAGTGGCTGTGGGGGATGGAGTGGTAGGAGGAGTGGAGGAAATCGGCTGTTAGGTGAGGGCGGGGTAGGCTTCCCTGAAGAGATGGGTTTTCAGGGTGCGCCTAAAGGTGAGGAGGGTTGGTGACAGTCTGATGGATTGGGGTAGTGAGTTCCAGAGGATGGGGGAAGACCTGGAGAAGTTCTGGAGTCCAGCATGGGAGGAGGAGACCAGGGAACTGGAGAGTAAGAGTCCTTGTGAGGAGCAAAGAGTACGTGTTGGGTGGTATTTGGATATCAGGTCAGTGAGGTAGTTTGGGGCAGTATTATGAATAGCTTTGTACGTCAATGTTAGTAGTTTGAATTGTATGCGTTGGGCAATCAGAAGCCAGTGGAGGGAATGACAGAGGGGGGTGGCAGATAAGGAGCGGTTGGTAAGGTTGATGAGTCTGGCCGCTGAGTTCAGGATAGACTGAAGTGGGGATAGTCTGTGATTAGGTAAGCCGGTGAGGAGGGAGTTGCAGTAGTCGAGTCGTGAGATAATAAGGGAGTGAATGAGTTGTTTAGTAGTGTCTGGGGTTAGGAACAAACGTATTTTGGAGATGTTGCGGAGGTGGAGCCTGCATGAATTTGCCAGCGATTGGGGTTGGAAGGACAGATTGGAGTCTAGAGTGACACCTAGGACTTTGGCTTGTGGGGTGGGACTGATGGTGGTGCTTTTGGTCGTGATGGACAGGATGGGGGGGGGGCACGGGCTGGGGGGAAAACTAGGAGCTCGGTTTTGGAAAGGTTTAATTTGAGGGAGTGGAGTGACATCCAGCCTGATATGTCGTTCAGTAGGCAGGTGATTCGGGTGGAGACTGAAGGGGTGAGGCGAGGGGTAGAGAGGTAGATTTGCATGTCATCGGCGTAGAGGTGGTAGTTGAAGCCGTGGGAGTGTGTCAGTTGGCCAAGGGAGGAGGTGTAGATGGAGAAGAGAAGGGGCCCGAGGACAGAGCTTTGGGGGACCCCAACAGAGAGGGGGAGAGAGGGGGAGGTGACAGCGTTATAGGTAACACTGAAGGAGCGCTGGGATAGATAGGAGGAGAGCCAGGAGAGAGCGGAGTCTCTGATGCCAAGGGAGTATAGTTTTTTAAGGAGAAGGGGGTGGTCAACTGTGTCGAAGGCCGTGGTGAGAGGTCGAGGAGTAGGAGGACTGAGTAGTGGCCATTAGCTTTGGCGGTTAGCAGGTCGTTGGTGATTTTGAGTAGGGCAAATTTTGGTGGAGTGTAGGGGACGGAAGCCAGACTGTAGGGGATCAAGGAGGTTGTTGTCATTGAGGTGATAGCTTAGACGATTGTAGACTAAGCGCTCGAGGAGTTTGGATGTAAATGGCAGCAGGGAGATGGGTCTAAAGTTGCTCAGGTTGGTGGGGTCCAGGGAGGGTTTTTTGAGTATGGGAGTGATATGCGCGTGCTTCAGGGGGGGAGGGGAATACGCCAGTAGAGAGGGAGAGATTGAAGATGTGGGTGAGGGAGCATAGGATGGAGGAGGAGGGTGACCGTAGGAGTTGTGTGGGGACAGGGTCAAGGGGGCAGGTGGTGAGGCGGGCTTCTGAGAAGACCTTAGTGACCTGTTCAGTGGTAGCAAGGCCGAAGGAGTGGAGTGTTGGGGGGGGGTTTTAGTGTGCGGGATGTTAGGTGTCGTGAGGGTCAGGGCAGTTGCGAGGTCAGAGGAGGGGAGTGCTGAGGGGGTTATCGTGGGAGGGAGGCTAGGTGGAGTGGAAGACTGAGCATTGGCGATGTCACCACCTATATATATAAATATATTTTGAAATATATTGAATATTGCCAAAATTGTAGTATTTCAAATATATATGGCAATATATTTGGGAAGAATATTTTTAAAAATATATTTCAAATATATTTTTCTTCCATATGGGTGTGTGTGTGTGTGTGTGTGTGTGTATGGAAAGCAACATGGTTAAAAGAAAAAGTCTGCAAACTGAGGAACCTAAAAGAATTAGCAAGGGAAATTGGTATATAGAGGTAATGGTAGCATGAAAATAACAAATATAGAATTTCAGCTGCAGAATATGTTCCAGACAAAACTAGCAAACTTAATTTGCTCCAATTTTGATTATATACTTAGATTTACAGTATACTCTGTACCAAGGGCAATAACAATAGTATTAAAGCATAATGGGTCTGATATGCATGTCAGCACCTTTCAGAGTGTATGTATATTCTATTTTTATTTTAGAGAGTGGTGGTATATATGCATGCATATATACCACCACATTGACCGTAAAATAGATGCATCATATGTTGGACACAGATAACACTCATGTTATGTAACACCATAACTGCATGTCTGACAAATGCAAATATCAATACGCTATTATAAAGGTGCTGAATAAGAAAGGAAAAAAACCCATCCAGTGAGATGTCCCGCATTTAATAGGACGAGGGGCAAAAGGAGGACCATCTGTGGCTTCCTTCGGTTATTTTCAAACAGATCTAGTTCTAAATAGATCAGGTGGCTATCAAAAGCCGGCCATATATGGTTTGAATATTGGCCTGTTCAGCAGGGACTGGCCAAAATTAGAACCATGCATGGGCAGGCTGAATGTACCCAAGTTAATTGATTGATCAACTTGGGTACAACCAGCCTGTAAGATTTTACATGTGATTATTGCTAGTAGCTATTGCTCCCCACTGGGAGAACACAATGGCTCATGGGACATTTCTAAATGTCAAATGCTGCAAAAAAACTGAAAAGACAGTAAATAGGAATTCAGTTGTCATTGCAGTTAGTGGGTATAAGAAAGGGCACATATTCAGATCCAAACCAAGCCAATTATCTTACACATGTAGTACTAAACCAACTAGAGGGAAGATACATTTTTTTCATCTCTACCAGGCCAGATGTATAAATAAATGTACATGTTTAGCAATGTTGGGCCAATTATAACCAAAGCAAAGTAACATTTGTTTTTCAATAAGAATGATAAATAATAATATAGAAGGGCTATAAAATTTTTAACAAAGGTTACATTAAAATCTATTCAAATCTATTTTTGTTTTGATAGAGTAGAGAAAGTTAACCGTATACAGTCAGGTCCATAAATATTGGGACATCGACACAATTCTAACATTTTTGGCTCTATACACCACCACAATGGATTTGAAATGAAACAAATAAGATGTGCTTTAACTGCAGACTGTCAGCTTTAATTTGAGGGTATTCACATACAAATCAGGTGAATGGTGTAGGAATTACAACAGTTTGCATATGTGCCTCCCACTTGTTAAGGGACCAAAAGTAATGGGACAATTGGCTTCTCAGCTGTTCCATGGCCAGGTGTGTGTTATTCCTTCATTATCCCAATTACAATGAGCAGATAAAAGGTCCAGAGTTCATTTCAAGTGTGCTATTTGCATTTGGAATCTGTTGCTGTCAACTCTCAAGATGAGATCCAAAGAGCTGTCACTATCAGTGAAGCAAGCCATTAATAGGCTGAAAAAAAAACAAACCCATCAGAGAGATAGCAAAAACATTAGGCATGGCCAAAACAACTGTTTGGAACATTCTTAAAAAGAAGGAACGCACCGGTGAGCTCAGCAACACCAAAAGACCCGGAAGACCACGGAAAACAACTGTGGTGGATGACCGAAGAATTCTTTCCCTGGTGAAGAAAACACCCTTCACAACAGTTGGCCAGATCAAGAACACTCTCCAGGAGGTAGGTGTATGTGTGTCAAAGTCAACAATCAAGAGAAGACTTCACCAGAGTGAATACAGAGGGTTCACCATAAGATGTAAACTATTGTTGAGCCTCAAAAACAGGAAGGCCAGATTAGAGTTTGCCAAACAACATCTAAAAAAGCCTTCACAGTTCTGGAACAACATCCTATGGACAGATGAACTGAAGACAGTTGCAGTAGAGGCCTGGCAGAGCATCACCAGGGATGAAACCCAGTGTCTGGTGATGTCTATGCATTCCAGACTTCAGAGGATTTGCAACCAAGTATTAAAAAGTGAAAGTTTGATTTATGATTATTTATTCTGTTCCATTACTTTTGGTCCCTTAACAAGTAGGAGGTACATATGCAAACTGTTGTAATTCCTACACCGTTCACCTGATTTGGATGTAAATACCCTCAAATTAAAGCTGACAGTCTGCAGTTAAAGCACATCTTGTTCGTTTCATTTCAAATCCATTGTGGTGGTGTATAGAGCCAAAAATGTTAGAATTGTGTTGATGTCCCAATATTTATGGACCTGACTGTATGTCAGGTATTAATGCTGTCCATGATCATGTATGGAAATTTTTTATTATCTTCCTGTCACAAGTAGGCTTTTAACACAAATTGAGGAGAAATTCCTTGCTAAGGTTACTGACAGCAACATAAATAAATATGTGACCAAGGTTCTAATCTTTTCCAAAAAGTAGAAGAGGTGTTTTTGTTGCTGTTTGGGTTCAAGAGTAGAAAGTGACGACAAACTCAGCAGACAGCAAAAGAAACCTGACTGGGGTTCTATACCTTCCCCCACCTTTCCACAGGTTTGAGGAAGACTTCAACTTAAAGTAATTTAGAAGACACAGAGAGAATGTGTACACAATTAAACTAGATATACATTTGCAAAATATTTGAAATAAATATGTAGGAAGTACGTTCCTGTGTGTAAACTTCTGGGATTGAATGGAAGCCGATATGACTGAAAAATAAAATTTTAGATGTAATAAGACAAAATAAGAAAAGCATTTAAAATCCTTTGAGGCTGCGAGTACAGAAAGTGCATTAATGAGGTATAAGGAATGTAATAGGAATGAAAAAAGGGAAATCACACTAGCGGGAAATTAAAGCCAAATATCTAATTGCTAATCATATTAAATTAAATCCCCCCAATATTACAGGTGCACAGAAATCTTATAACATAGGTGCTATTTGAGATATTCAAGAAAATGTAATTAATTGGAGAAAACATGGCAAAATCCATTTCTTTACAAATTTGCAGATAAATATGA